CTGTATGCTTGTGTCACCGCGAAAAGAGTTTCGACGATTTTATTGTGATACAGTGAGATGCTCGATTTTTTCACTCTCGAGCATTTCTCGAATATTATTTTCTTTTGTTCTTGTTGTTTCAATTTCATCGACAGGAGTTTCATCACTTCTCCCGAGTGATTCAAGAGATCACATGTTTGAACTAGTTTGTTGCAGTGATTCTTGTGGACTTTTCGAAGTAGATATTATAAAGGTAGGTAAAAAGTTTTCTCCAAAATTTACGCGCTAGTTTAGTGTAATACTATATATATATATATATATATTGAATCTCAACGTTTGGTATGTAAATTTTGGTAGTATTTTATGACGTAATTTTGCCATTTTATAAGATGAAGCAAAATCCCCAAGAATCCCTACAAAAATCCGAGAGCAGCAGTGTGAAGGCAAGATTATACTCGATCGAAAGAGAGACATTGCTGTCCTCGAGAATATGGAGGCCTCAGTCGAAGGAGACTGAAAAATCGAGCAAAGTACACTCGAATAATATATATAAATTTTATTTTTGACAGAGCTAAAGTACCTATTCTCGCTCCGCGAGAAATATTTTATTAAAGGAAAAATTAATGACAGACAATCCCGAAATGGAGATAACAGTGCATGTCGATTAATTTTCAATGCAAATTGTTAAAAAATAAATGAATAACGAGTGATCCTAACCTGAAATAAACCAATAAAATAAATCATTTATTCTCCCTCCGTAAAGTCTCCATATTTTCAGAGAATGGCAAGAATAATCGTCATGCTGTCTGTTTTCATCTTGCATCGGTATACACGCTACGCCACGTGGCTCATCTAAATCTAGACTCGCATCTATGAACTCGGAAGCGAATCGCGCGATGATCTCGAGTGCGCAACACCGAACTTGTGTTACAAGTATACTTCATTTTCGAAAGACTATCGTCGGCAAAAGCAAAAACCAAACAACGAAAAAATCACCACGTGTTCACGTATCTTTAATCGCCTTTAAACAGCCCTTTCTTTACATCCTCAATCTCATTCTCTCCTTTTCTTTCTCTGCTCTCTTTCTGTTTTTCTTCTTTTTTTTCTTTTCTAATAATATACCGGAAGGTTCAGAGTTGCTGCTAGGATACATCTAGGAATCTTAAGGCCACGATACCAAGTTAATGAGCGATCGTTGAAACGAGTCGTCGCTACGAAAGGAAACAACGCTACTATGGCGTCTAGGAGAAAGAATGGTGGCGCGCTCCCTGATCCTCCTAGATCTTTCTCGATTTTGCAACGCGTCGACGAAGAATCGTTCATCCACGATATCCATCTCAATGGACGAATCGCGGTTTCTTCTCAGGAAGCATTTAAAAAATCAACTACCAAAAGACGTTCCTCCAAGTCTATGTTCGTTAGTTTTTTTTTCTCTCTTTTTTTTTTTTTTTTTTTTATCCATCAGTCGTGCTACGGAGGAAACGAGGTGTATCGGTT